ACAAAGCTCCTGGAAGATGGCTCAAAGAGTTACCAGCCGTGGTCTGGGGTCTCAGAACCTAGCCCAGTCGCAATACCGGTGTATCACCATACTTTATGGTTTATGGTACTGAGGCAGTACTTCCAGCAGATATAGCCTTTAGATCAGCATGGGTAGAGAACTTCGACGAAGACAAGGCTAATGAAGTGAGGGAGCTAGAAGTGAATAGTGCAGAAGAGAAGCGGCTCGATTCTTGCTTACGTACAACCAAATACCTTGCTGTTTTGTGCAGGTACTACAACAAGAATGTCAAGGAGCGGTTCTTTGTGGTCGGGGACCTGGTCCTGAAGTGGAAGACGAATCAGGCTGGTGTCCACAAACTCACAACCCCATGGGAAGGACCCTTCATGATCAAGGAGGTCACACGCCCTACATCTTACAGGTTAGCTCGCCTAGACGGCACAGACGTACCCAATTCCTGGCACATCGACAAGCTTAGGCGTTTCTATGCTTAGCTACTAAGATATGTACCCCTCTTGTACTTTTGATTTATTTCAATAAAGCCATTATGATTTCTCCGACCACTCTAATGTGTCACTTCGAAGTCTATTATTATTCTAACTCTATCAGTTAAAACCGACCATCATTCTTTCTCGGGTTTTCAGAGCAGGCCCTGTCTCCGGTTCCCCCCAATGTGTGCATGGGATCCGCTCTCTACGCTACAGGTGATCGGCAGGTGCTCTCTGGTTTGACTTGTGTGTTTCTACGTGTGCACAAGCTACGCACCTCACACTCTGACCGCATGTCAAACCAGGTCCGTACAAACCTTTCAGGATGACGTGTCGACTAAACCAGTACAACTAAACAGAACGCCAACATGTTCAAACTTAGTTACATCCACATGATATCCGAGCTTAAACATGTTTTCTACAAAACAAACAAGCTTATGTTGATATACAGTTACGTTATTACAAGCTTGCCTGAAAAGGTCCAAGTTTACAATAACCCAACTACATCTTCTTCTACAGCTATAGCCTACACTATTGGCTGGTCGGGGCACGTGGCGCCTGCTGCTCGCTGGGCCTGACATCGTGCTCGGGTCTCAGGGACTCTGGCATTGATCGAGCTGAAGAAGATGGCCCCGCCGATGCCTGGCTGGTCGAGACCGCAGGCTTCGTCGGTTGGCTTGAAGATGACGACGCTCCCAGTTGACTTGTTGATGGCTTTCCTTGTACGGGTGGTGTCGCATCTCCACACAGGTTAATATCGCCAATTATTTTCATCGACAAGTCCAGCTGGATCATCCGTAGCTCCTCGGCCTTGTCTAGATCTACCTCCTTCGGGTATCCAGCCTCTAGGCGCTTGAGATCGATCAGGGGGTAGTGAGCACGTACCATGCTTAGCACATGTGCGCCTGCGTACTCTCTCGCCTCCTTCACGAACTCCTAGAACCATCCCATGCCCTTTGGCATCTCTCGATCAATCCCAGCTGCGGTGTCCTTGGCACATCTTCTGCTAGTGCCGGATCGATGAGGTTAAGGACTGGCAAAATGCCCTTTGCCACCTCCTGGCACCGGCTTTTCCAGGTGTCATGGTCCTTGGTGATCTCTTGGCATTGCGCCTTCCAGCCATCACGGTCTTTTCATCATGGCCTCCAGTGGCATATGGTTTTTTGCCACACTTTTTGTGCTTGGGGACTGTCCCGACCACCCTCGTGCTCGGGGACTGTCGCGACTATCCTTGTGCTCGAGGACTGTCCCAACCACCTTCGTGCTCGGGGACTGTTCCGACCACTCTCGTGCTCGGGACTGTCTCGACCGCCCTCGTGCTCGGGGACTATCCCGGCTACCTTTGTGCTCGGGGACTATCCCAACTACGGTTATTCTCGGGGATTCATCGTTTTCTCTATGCTGCGCTCAGGGACTGCCCCGACCACTCTCCGACCATTGCTCGGGGACTGCTCTCCTCGGCTGCATGTGATTTGTACTCACATATAGTTGAGAGGCATTTATTTTTTCTCACTTAGACCTTGCTACAAGGCTCATACCTCTCCTTCCAGCAAGCTCGAGGACTACATTGGTACGATGCACCTGATGGTGCATGCTGTATCTAATTAACTTAACTAGGAATTCTTTTTAGATCCTGGCACCACGTGCCTACGTCACCTACTACCAGGCTTGGGAACTAAGTGGGCACACTTCACCTTGCGGTGAATGTGCTTATTTTATTAACCCCTACGCTCTAACTATTGGTCATAACTACTCCTGTACAAGGGTCACTTACATTTCTTTTTAGAAATACAAGTGGGCACACTTGGTCAGGAAATAAATCTTTTTCTTTTTTCTTTAGAGCACCATGCATTCTTCGGACAACCAGAATCTTCGGCTATAATCGTGGTCTACTGCTCTCTGTGTTGACCAGAATACTGGCACATTTGCTTGGTCAAATATTTCAACCAGTTGGAGATGACATGAAGACAGACCGCATTAGCCGAAGAAGATCAAACGGCGTGTCGCAACATAATACATGGTGCTCGGGGACTAGCTGTGGGGGTATTAACCCATATACCCTTACGGCTAAGTTTGGGCCGACCCGGACCAGGGGGTTCGGTCTACCAGAAGACGACGTGTGGCCCAGCCGATCTGCTCGGAGTCCCGCGCAAGGAATCAAGGCAGACTTGGAGATCAAGCAAGATCCTGGTCGGTTAGAATAGGAATCTTTATCCGGCCACCTATGACAATTGTAACCGGTTGGGATTAGTTTCCAGATCTGTAACACTGCCCCCCAGACTATATAAGGCAGGCATAGGACCTCTCTCAAAAATCATCTCATCTAAATACAGCAATACAATCAGATGCATGACGTAGGTATTACGCCCTCACGGCGGCCGAATCTGGATAAAACTCCGTGTCTGTCTTATGTCACCATCTCGTTCGTAGCTTGCGCACCTGTCTGCTGATAATCTACTACCTTGAGCATACCCCTAGGTAGACTGCCGACCATATTTCATCGACATGGCTTGACTCAAGCATTTTTATTCACATACCCAGCATTGCAGCCCATTGGCGTGCAGCCAAGTGATCTCATCGGTTATAAAATAAAACTTACAAGATGCTTCTGCATCAATTCTACATCACCGTTGGGCAGAAAATAAAATTAATATATAAAACTCATAAATTAACTTGAAAGACATATAACTACTCTTCAAAATTAAATCCACCCATTAGTTCGAATTTAATTAGAAGATAATCAACATCATTGCAGCGAAGCACGATAATAAAATACATTCTATTAGTTCCAGAGCATTTCTTGGTCTTTATCTACTCTCTGAAAAATTGACCATGTTGGTGTAAAATTTATTAGAGATTTAAACTCCAACCTTAAACTCATTATAATATTGTTATTATCAACGTTGGTCAGAAAATAACAACACCATAATTTAACATAAATAAATCGGACTACTCCTCTAATGTAAATTTTCCCGCCGGTTCTAATTTAATTAGAGGATAAACATAATCATAATTTACTAAATATAACTGCTCTTCAAATTAAATTCTACCGTTGGTTCGAATTTAATTGGAAGAAGATCAACATTAAACTTTGCAGTGGAAACTTGAAAAAAATAGTTTATCTACTTTTTAGAAGCATTTCACCGTCCTCATCTACTCTCAACAATTTATCCCATTGGTTCAAAATCGAATAGAGATGAAAAAAAATCAAAATTTGCTTCTGAAAATAATAAAACTGTTTACTGTTCATTCGGCCCGCCCTGGAAAAAATGGCTCGCGACCTATCTAGCTAGTGTGCGCGCACGCTCGGCCCTGTGACGCCGCCCATACTAGAAATCGACCCATGGCTTGCCGCGCGTGGCGTGCGTGCTCGCTCCCCCGCACCTAGGCCGCAACCTGGGCCTGGGCCGGGATTTCTCCGTCGTCGATCACGATCGGACGGTCATCCGTCGTTCTCGCTGGGACAAAAACCGGCGCCGCGCCGCTCCTCACCAAACGCTAACCTCATTCTAAAACTCCCGTTCCTCTCTCAGCCCCACGGTGACCGACTCTCTCTCTTCCCTTCCAAACTGAAAACATGGCAGCCGGAGAAATATGGCGGCGCCGCCGCCGGTCCCCTCGCCGGTGCACGCGCCACCGTCGAGTGGTCTAGCGATGGCGCCCTGAGGGCGTGTGCGCTGCTCAGTGGAGGGCCGGTGGTTCTCGTGATGCGGTTAACTAAGGGATGACGATGCTGCCACGGAGCTCTCGGCTGGCTCGCGCGCTCACCGTCGTCGAGGGGCCCTCAGGTAGTGCCCTTGGTTCGAGCCCGAGGCGAAGACCGCACGGCGGCGAGTCTTCGCACCCGCGGCGGCTCATGATGACTTCCCTCGCGGCATCGAGGCAACGGTCGGCGGTGGTGACTGTGCGGGTGGTTCCCAGGTAGGAAACCCCCCTCAAATCCTTTCTCTTCTTCTAGAGTTAGGGTTAGACTCTACTGGTTCATCTCCTTCTGATTGATTCTGCCTCGACCTAGATCTAAACCTAACCTGGCTCTTGATGCCATTCATAGAACTAACATGACCTCTAGGCGTAGATCTAGCGAGTAAAACTCAACTTAAATGAGAAACTTAATGATGTACCTCACCATGGCACGGCGTGACACGCCTCTAGTGTCGGAGTAGAGGTAGCATCGTAGTGGTGGTGTGATCCAGTGACGACGGTGAGGGCCGGTGGAGCTTCCCGTCGCTCACAGCGCTCCCTCTAGATCGGACTAGGGTTAGACTCGGTGGAGAACTGGCGGCTACAGTGAACCTCGTGTCTCGAGCCCCATCTCTCACCTCCTTTATATAGCGCTGCGCGACGGGGGTCCACCAGCCAGAAGAGCGGCTGGGCGCCCCCGATCAGGGCGCAAGTCAAGGGCCCAATTGGCTGTTGGGCCAAATTGGTGGAGATCAACCTAACACATGGCGCACTTGTCGAGGCGCTTACGGTTGCTCGCCCAGTCACCGTGGCACCGCCAGCACTGGTCGATCAGGTTGGTCGCCATGCAGGGCCCCGCGCCTTGTACTCTAGGGACTGGGACCGCGTCGACATCGACGTCGCCCTGCGCACGCCGTCGTTGAAGCGCTCCATGACGGCGACCGGGTCGCTCACATACACCGTGCGGTTGTACGCGTGCGCCACCTCGGTGACGTTGACGAGTTGCGCGTACGCCTTGTCGATGGCGGCGTCGGTCGGCGTCTCCGCGGCGGCGGCGACAGCCACGGTGGCGAGGATGTAGAAGAGGATGGACAGGGGGCTCCACATCACGACGACGGAGCCCGCCATTTTGGCGTTCTGCTACTACTGATCGATCCTAGCTCTATATTATTTATTATTAAATGGGTTGGGGCTCGGTGGTGAGCGTGAGCCCTGGGGGCGACGTGCGCCGGCTTGACTCACTACGGTGAGGTGCTCAGGCCTCAGGGAGAAGAGTTATGTCTTCTTCCAAAGGATGCTGAGCCCTCCCAGGTGAGCGGACATAGTTGAGGTGGATCGGAGGAGGGAGGGAGACGGCGTGGTGGAGCGCTTGTGGTCGGTCCTCGGCGGGGTCTTATAGCGCGCGGTGGGCCGAGAGTTGGATGTGCGTCTCGCCGTGATCCGCGCGCGGCCGCTCGCCGGGTTTGGCGGCGAGCGTTTGCGTCCCTGGCACCCTGGCAGGCGAGAGCTGCTGGACGTACGGGCTTGGTGGGACAGGAGAGTTGCCCTTTGCGCGTGCATGGATGGACATGGACGCATGCGTGGCTTCTGGCAGTTGACACACATGCCGAGCATTTGGAATGGCTTGAGATGGTAAGTGGTTGGCGATGAACGATGGTGTTGATAGCGTGAATGTTTGATTGGTGATTGGATCCTTCCCATGACATAGAGAAAGGAGATGTGGCGCTAACCCTTTTGCAGAAGCATGTTAGAAACTTTAAAACTTTTTTTTGTACAAGGATAGAAAAATTAAAACTTTGACAATAATTTGTTTGTCTGGAGTAACATTTGCGCAACCGTATATATACATTCATTAGACATCATAACTCATCTTCTTATAAACAATTATAGCCCAAGTTGTACATGATCATAGAGCCAGAAATATAACACTTCCTCCATCCATAAAAAATGTAACGATTTAAAGTTTGACCAAAATAATAAAAAATATTAATAATCATGATTCAAAATAAATATTATTGAATTAATCATGAAATATATATTCGTAACAAACCTAGTTAGAGACATAAATGTTAATACTATTTAATATAAAGTTAAGTTATGTTACTTTGACTAGTTTAAATCCCATAGTTGCATACTTTTTGACACGGAGAGAGTATATTTTTTATGTGAGTAGTTTGACTTCTAATCCGTGCAAGAAATCAGTAGGTGCACATATATCTTTTTCTTTTTTGCTAATACCATGTGTACATGATAACTTCAGTTTGGCTTCTTAGTACTGTATAAGAGTTATCTCTCCTCTCTAATTAGGCTCTTCCACTAGACCAAATACAACAAACTAGTGAAACGATTGTATAATTTTATCCATTAGAAAAAGGAGTAGCTATATTAGGAATTTTTAGACAACAACCTTACATAATCAACTAGTACATTGAAAAGAAACAATTCATATTTTTTCTATAGCCAGTCAATGGAAAAAATTGTATGTTGCATGAAAAACAATAATGAATTAGACATTGAGATACGGGAGCAGTGTTTAAAAAACATTTATATAAAGAAAGAACTTGTCGGGGTCATAACCTAGGGTGCCTCAAGGCATAGTTAGCAGGCCACGCGGCCTGCAATATCTCAGCTAGCGAAGGCCCGAACGACCGAGGCCTAGCTAAGCCAAGCAAACTAGGTCGGACGCTAAGGCCGGGGTCCATCACGACCCCTTCCTCCTGCCTTAGCTGCACGACGCTCGAAAGGCGTATGACCTCTCCCCCATCATGATCCTCGGAGGGAACAGGGAGAGGTCGGGCCCAGCCAAGCGTACCTGCTCTGACAAGAACAAGCACACTGCACTGACCCCGCAAGGACCAAGGGGACAGTGGTCACCTCGGTCCTGTCAGATTCCATCCCTGTGCCACTTGCACAGATAAGACAACACCGCACGGTAGTGACGACTAGTACGGAGCTCACCATCCAAATACGGTCCGACAAGATGAAGGTACGACTCCACCCACTATGGGATGGGATCCACGATGAGAGCCTTGACTTAGAGGCCATCCAGATCGGCGAAGCCACGACCCCAATGTTGGTATAAATTAATACACACATAATAATCCGCAAGCGCATAGATATTATACCGATGTAGCACTTCACCAAGAGTGCCCAGTTTTATATCGAACTCGAGAAAACATGTGTGAGAATAACCAAATCTAACTTATCCCAACTTCACAATCAATGCTAGATAATAGGAGAGTAGAGGAGACTGCTAAGGTCTTCTAGTTCTAACTTCGGTAAGCTTTGTCTTCTATTGTTCAATTCTGGGGATATTACTAGAGAAAACACAGGCATAGTATGTTTCTATAGCAACAATATCCTGCTAGGCCTACTAACGGGAGGTGGACTACAAATGATTCAATGAGGCTATAAGAGTCACCCTTGCGAGCTACCCCTGATCCAAAAAATAGAGTACATCCACGAGTAACCGAGTCTAAGCACCACGCTTACACTACGAATACTACTTTAACCCAAAAGCTACGAGGATTAAAGAACTCAAAAGAGAGTCGCAAACCTGAAGAATAATATGAACAAGATGCTTACTTGAATTAGAAGTCGGTTAACAGAGAAATCTTAGAAGCAAGCTCAAGAAGAACTTGATTCCACCAGGGTACAAGCCGTAAAGAGAGCTCCGACAGACCGGGACTCCTCCAAACTCTTCCCTCTCACTCTATCTCACTATCTCTAATACAAGACTAGATCCTATTGAGGAATAATCTTTTCTTAATTGCCAGCCTTGATCCTAGTGGACATATGGATTAGGGTTTCTAGCATCTCAGCTCTCAGGATCAAATGAGACATGCCCTGAGGGGGGTGCAGGTTGATATATATAGGACATAGCATCAATCCTGAGCCCTCGGATCAAACCGACTTAAAGAATGGTGGAGATGCAATCCTTAAGACGGTGGGGAACCGACATAACAACGAGGCTGACAGGTGGGGCCCATAGGGGCTGGGCGGCCTCCAGTTGGGGCCAGGCGGCCCCACATGTCAGAGACATGTGTCCCGCTTCGGTGATTCACCTTTTGGAGTCTTCTAGAGTCTTCCCATGTCGATTACGCAGCGGAATTCCATAATTTTCTTTGATGAATAGGTCCTCATTGGTAGTTTTCTGATTAAATCCTGGAAACATAGATTCACCAAAACTCATGGAATTTGTCAGTTTAAACCCCTAAGTCTACATTGGTGATCTATTTTAGCCATTTATACAAGTTATATTGATGGTTTGTGATGAATGTTAACTACCGTCAACACCCAATGATTAGGATCGTGGCCCTTAGCTCCTCAAGCCAACTAGGTATTGACAACCTAGGGGTTGCTACCAACTCCTGTGCGACGCCCTCGGAAACCTAGAGATGATGACTAAGACCACGGCAGAGACCACGTCGCACAGGACAACTGGCGAACCACCTAAGTGCCTACAGTGCGGCCACAGCTGACATAGTAGCACCACACGCACACCATACCGTGATGTGGCCATAAGATCATGACGACAACCACGCCCAAACATGTATCTCAAGACGGCGTAGCTTGCAAGCCAAGTTAGTTAGGCTCACCCTCAGACTTACGACCCTTCGGCCGGGAGAACCTACTGCTTTGTAAATGTCCTAGCCCCAAACTCTATATAAGGGCAGCCAGGGCACCATCTCCAGAATTCTGATCCTCTACCATTTTTACTCATTGTCCATCGTAGTAGGGCTCCTGAAGCTTCTCTTCAGGCAGTCCATCTCCTAGCTCTAGCTCTCCAATCTCTTCCACCATTTTGCACCCCTATTGTAAGAACTTCAGAGCATTCAAGCGAGGAACACGCACTCGATCATCTCTGAGACTGGATGTAGGGCTTTGGCCTGAACCAGTATAAATCCTCGTGTCTGTTGGATGCTACCATCATCTTCCTAAAGCAGCGCGATAATCGCATAAGTTTACTAGTCTGGTTTACAAAACACCGATAGTTGACGCACTAGGTAGAGGACAGTCGCGCACTATCATTGTTGAGAAGGAAGCGATGGCTACCTGCACTTATGTCGGACTTGCTCTTGGAGCGGCCCCCGGTAGCCGCATCCGCTTCGAAAGCCTCGAGTTCGCCGACATCGACGGGCCAGCTCCCGTCAATAGTCTTCTCCCCGACCAAGCCTTGCGCTTCGGGGACCTATACTTCATGGGCGACCACCTAGGTCAGCTGCGACTGAGCGAAGAGAATGTGGTTCCACCACACATCTAGACGCCTGATCATGGACTGGCCCGAGCTGGTCTTGCGATCATCGACTCTGATGTGCTAGCATGTAGAATCGACGCCTATCTCAGGGTGAATCCCAAGCTAGAGCTAAGCCGACGCATTTTCTACGTGTTGGCGAATGCTTTCGCCCAACTCTCCAGAAGCGGGTCCCTACTGCCAGAGGATGAATTCTGGAACCCCAACACCACACTGCCCTCCGGAATAAGGGATGTGATCGCACTCTTCAAGCGAGAGCTAGCCAGGCGCGATGGCCGTGCGACGATGCCAGGTTCCTCCTGGGTTTGTGGGCATTATGGAGAGAGATTCAGAATCCATCCATGACCTCTTGCTGACAACCCCTGAGAACACGGACTTCAAGTCCAATTACGAGGGGAGTTGCCATCCACTAAGAGAATGCAACATGTTGCACCTCTCGAAGGATGGGGCGGCCCCGGTGGAGGATGCAGAGGATGACGCCTATCTAATTCATTGCACCCCAAGAGAGTAGGCCGAGTATGACCAGGAGCACCTAGAATGAGCCAAGGCTCATGAATCTGATTAAGTCAACGAACACCACGACGACAGATGCCCTAGTCCGCCACACCTCGACGCTGAGGGCGCGCGGGCGCGGGCATGCCGTGTGTACAATCAAATCCAACAGGGCAAGAGAGAGACGCTCGTCTTTCCTCGAGCCAGCCAAAACATCACAGCGGCTGCCATGATCATGCGGACAGCCCCTGAACCCTCAAACAATGAGGGAAAGCGTGTCCATTAGGAGCTATGAGACTTGCTAGAAACTGCGGCGGTATAGCAGGCTCAAAGCTCTGCGGAGAGGCGGCATCCTAAGGCCAGCTTGATACACATCTCCTCGTTACGTGGTGCCCCCCGAGGAACGCCACACGCCAAGCATGCTATGACCAGATGACGGCGGTGCGGCGCGTAGGTGGGAATGCTCCGCAGCGCGCGACCGATACGTTAGAAACCACAATGCCCATCCAACTCAAGGCGACAGGCGCCATGGGTCGGATGGGGCAGGCAAAGATCAACTACACTACGGTGACAGCGACCCGGACAACCATGGCCGACATCCTAGGGTTCGGGACACTTGACGCGGCTCAAGCCTGGACGCCTATGGCCCGCAGGCGTTCATGAAAAGGATCTGGCAGACGCCATTCTCGATGCGCTTCCGTGCGTCACCGAACATTGTCAAGTACTCTGGGGACACCAACCCCGCCGTGTGGTTAGAAGACTTCCGCCTCGTCTGTCGAGCAGGCAGGGCGGATGACGATCTCTTCATCATCCAATACTTGCTGCACTACCTTGCGGAAAGTGCCTGAGCATGGCTCAAGCATCTCCTCGTGAACAGCATCCACTCATGGGCAGACTTCAAGCACATCTTCGTAGGGAACTTTCAGGGCACGTACGTGCGCCCTGGAAATTTCTAGGATCTCAAGGCCTACAAATAGAAAGCGAGAGAGACTCTACGTGAGTACATCCATCGCTTTTCCAAACGGTGCAATGAGCTTCCCGATATCGTGGATGCACACATGATCAGAGCATTCATCTCCGGCGTGACCAACGAAACACTCGTTCATGAGCTTGGACGCTACAAACCATGGACAACGCGGGAGTTGCTTGACCTCGCGACAAGCCACGCCTCCGGCGAGGAGGCCGTTCGTGCAATCTTCTACAAATACAAGGATAAGGTTCAAACTAAACCCACAGATGAGGCTAAAGACCGTAGTCGATGGGTAAAGGGCAAGAAGGACAGCTGGAGGCGCTGTGACAGCGAGTTTGTCATGGCAGTCGACAGGGTCCACAAGCAGAAGACTAGCAAGCTCAACCATGTCAGCTTCGACAAGATAGTCAAGATGCCATGTTGCAATCATGGCTATCCAGTCAAGCATACCCTCGAGGAGTGTGACCTCATCAACGCTACTTCAATGGCGACTACAAGGCAACCGGTAGGGACGCGCCATCCGGGCCCGCAGGCAATGATGAGAAGGGGGATGCGTATCCCAACCCAAAAGGGTGCCTCATGATCTCCGGTGGACCGGTGGCGTACGAATCCAAACGTCGGCAGAAGCTCATGACTAGGGAGGTCAATGCAGCCGCCCTGGGTGAAGCTGTCCTAGCTTTCCTGAAATGGTCGGAAATCGCGATCACTTTCGACAGAAAGGATCACCCCGATCACATTCCACAACCAGGGCACTTTCCCCTTGTCGTCGGCCCGATCATCGGTAAGACCCGCCTATCTTGAATCCTCATGGACGACATGAACGGCCTCAACCCCCTCTATGACAAGACTTACGACGCCATGGGGCTTTCGCGGGTGGCGATACGACCATCCGGTGCTTCGTTCCACGAAGTTATACTCGGGCTTTAGGCCGCCCCCCTTGAACAAGTCGACTTACCCGTGACGTTTGGAGGTCGAGCCAACTTCCACATAAAAACGCTCACCTTCGAAATAGCGGATTTCCCCGACGCCTATCACGTCATCCTAGGACGACCATGCTACGCCAAGTTCATGGCCGTCCCCAACTATACCTACCTAAAGCTCAAGATGCCCGGACCTCACAGAATCATCACTATAGGAGGCGACCTCCAGCAGGCCCACCTCTGTGAACGGGAAAATTACGACATCGTGACAGCCACATACCAACCGCTAGGGGCTGAACCCGAACACGACTTCCCTACACGGTAGGAGAGCACGTGGAGGTTGCACTCTGCGACCTCAGCCGCGGCATGCGACGAGGCAAGCGACGACATGGCGCGAGGATGACACGATCGACGACATGCAAAGATATACCAAAAAGAGCCTTAGTATAGTGTGAATGTATTACCATGTTCGATGTCCTTGGTTCAAAAGAAATCCAAACACTCTATTAAGTATTAACCGTGTGGATCTTGTGGCCTTTTTGCAATTATGTCCATGTTACGGCCTGCAAAGGCATCTTTCTTTTGCAATTGAAATTAAAAGAACTAATTTTCAAAGAAGCCACTAGCATGCTCTAGTTGGTCAAGACTCCATATCATAGTTTTGGAGAGAACCATGGACCTAAAAGGGTGAGAGGGTGAGAGTTTGGCATGACATGAACATACAAAAGGGTTTATATGTTTTCTAGTTGTGCTAGCAGTTGACATCACATAAACATACAAAAGGGCTTATATGTATTTCTAATGTGTTAGTAGTTAGAACTACACCAAACTGACTGACAACGAGACACTAAGATGGCTACCATCAATCCTCACATGATAAAGGCTTTATCATCCGTTCCAAATTGTAAGATGTTTTGTCTTTTCCATATCCAATACTTTTACTATGTATCTACATTGTGTATATCTAGATCTTCTAATTTGAAATGGGGGATACTTTCTTGGTAGCTACACTATTAGCTGTTGATGCGACAATGATTGGTAGTTACGAAATTGCAGCAGCGACAAGCAGCTATGCCCAATAGACTAGACTGGGCCACAGCCCCGAGCTTCTAAAAAATTCTTAATCACCATATGATATACCATGGCTAATATCATTTGTGCATCGTTAGTGGTCCCTCCAATTTACCGGCCTATAAAAGATATTTCGCTCAAGCTCTGCCAGTGTCAATACTCTAAAAGTTTTTACTTTCCAGATGATGCTGGCAAATACTCCCTCCATGCGAACTGATCATAGATTAGTTGGTCGTGTTAACCTGTTTATTCGGGTTCAAGTTCTCGACTTGGCATGGGTGCTCATATTTTTCTAGATTTATTTTATGATTTAACAGCGCTATGCATTTAGTGGTAGGCGACGTCTCTATCGACAGCGAGTCGCCTGTGGTGACTTTGTGAATTTCAAAATCTGCCGGCTCAGTCCTTTGAAGGTGCTCATAGAAGTAGGGATTGCGTATGTGTGTTCATAGGGGTGAGTGTGCGTGCGTGTTGTGAACGTCTACGTTGTCCTGTGTAATTTAAAAAAAAGAAAAAAATACTCCCTCCATAAAAAATATAAATATATTTTTACGAGAAGTCAAACAATCTCAAGTTTGACTAAATATTTATGACATGTAACTAATATCACTAGATTAATTGTAAAATATATTTTGATAATAAACCTATTTGAAGATACAGATGTTGATAAATTGTCTTTTAAAAGGCTCAATGTTTAGCTTTTGCTATTTGAATTTGTGCCTTGTGCTCAGAAAATTGTTAGGGGTCATTTGGATTCCTTCATTTTGGAGAAATTAAAATCTACTTAATCAATTAGACTATTTGGGGAATTTGATGTTCTATAACTTTTCTAAGCTCACAAATAAGCCTATCTCAAATTCATAGGGTGAAAGATGGGAATTGATTCTATATATCACTGTGCTATAATTCTACTCTCCAACTTATAGCATACTCTTCAACTCATTTCGCTACAATAGAAATACAATATATAGGTATGTCCCTTGTATGTCTAACAATAAATATACAATATATTTCATATATAACTATATTAGCTTCATTAATCTATGTCTAAATTGTATTACCTCAATCCCAAATTATAAGACGTTTGACCTTTTTGACTCCAAGTTTGATCACTCGTCTTATTTAAAAAAATTGTACAAACATAGTCAATTTTAAATCATTTTTAAAGAACTTTTATTAATAAAGCAAGCTAAAAAAAAGTAATATTTTACATAAATTTTTAAATAAGATAAGTGATCAAACTTGATGTCAGACAAATGTCTTATAATTTGAGATGGAGAAAGTAATTCTTAGAATGAATTTAATTTTGAGGATCCAAACGGGAGCTTTTTACAAGTTTTTGTTTTTCCAGCCAAAAACTGAAACTTTTAATTCTGTTTGGTCGCGCGCACGCAGAGGCCGGAAAACAACATCAAACTGACTCTTGCAATTAATTATGGAACCAAATTGCCACGTCAGCCACACACCCATAGACCGGTTCCACGCCACCAATCTGCCTTTTCCGCCTAATCCCTCCCAGAACCCTAGCTCTCGCCGCCGGCCGGTCCCTCCCGTGGCTCGGAATGGCCGGCGCCGCCGCGCTCCGGCGATCCGCTCGCCGAATTTCCCGGCACCTCGCCGCTGCCCCCGCGTTCTGCCGCAGTGCGCTCCAGCAGCCCGAGCGCCTCCTGTCGTCGCAGGCGTCGCCGGAGCACGGCGCGCGCGTCGCGGTGTCCGGGTCGGAGCTGGCGCTGTACCCGCCGGAGCGGGTCCGGAACTTCTCGATCATCGCGCACGTCGACCACGGCAAGTCGACGCTGGCCGACCGGCTGCTGGAGCTCACCGGCACCATCCAGAAGGGACATGGGCAGCCCCAGTACCTCGACAAGCTGCAAGTGCGACGCTAATTCTTCCCGCTCACTCTTCTTCTTGTTCGATAAGTTAGAGAAATAAGTAAAATGTTGGCCCTTTACCGCTCAACTATCAGATGGTGAGAGGTGATCAGTCAGTTAGGCCACCATTTCCATACTGTTTTCGTGATCAGATTCTGGAACTGCATTGATGTCTGAATTAGTTTTATAAATAGTTGTTACGTTTTGGCCTTTTGAGATTTTATCATTGCACTGCCAGTAAGTGTCAAGGTCTATTTGTGGGCACAATGTTACGCTAATTCCATATCAGTTGATGCCTATACTGCTAGTAGCTTCATGACTGAAACTTCTAACAATTTCTGTCCACATTCTGTGACTTTGTATCTTGTAGTTACTGTATTTATCTTACCTACAGTATAAACTCTTATTACCTCCGGTCACAAAAACTTGATGTTTAGGACAAGATTGAAGATTGGTCAAATCTTTAAAACTACAAACATCAATTAGAATTACATTATTTATTTTGGAAGCGTGCAAGTTAAATGCCAAATGTCTTGTACATTTGACAAGATTTGGTCAGCTTGTTTTCAAAATACTTGGTGAAATCTCTTATATTGAAAGATTTTAAGAATATATTCTTGAAGAAATTAGCGGTCAAAGATACACATTGAAGACCATGCAAAGTCAAATGTGTTAAGTATTTGTGACCTGAGTGAGTATAACAGTTATTAATATGAGAAGCCATTTTTAGCATGCCAGCTCATCTGAGGGTTATCAGATCCCAAAAATGAATAGTTCCATTTTTTTTATTCCAAAGAATGCAAATAGAGTGGCTGTATTCATCTTTTTAACTCTCAGAATTTGAGATAGTACAACTTTTTAGGTTGTAATATTATGTGATTTCAACTACATTTAATGAGTGTTTATTTTCACAACCTCAACTTCCTTTTCCTTATACTCTGATTTGGGCATTACTTTCAGAAAACTGCTTTGATATTGGATCAGTCCTTGATGTCTAGTTTGATATTGTGTCTTCTGTTGTAACATTTATTGACGTGGAGTCCAGGTTGAGAGAGAAAGGGGGATTACGGTCAAAGCACAAACAGCAACCATGTTCTACAGGCACATTACTGCATCTCAGGACTCAGATACGCCAAGATATTTGCTTAATCTGATTGATACGCCAGGCCATGTGGATTTCAGCTATGAGGTATCCAGGTCCCTTGCAGCTTGCCAGGGCGCTCTTTTAGTAGTTGACGCAGCACAAGGAGTACAAGCTCAAACAATAGCAAACTTTTACCTTGCATTCGAATCAAATTTGAGCATCATTCCTGTGATTAACAAGATTGATCAGCCGACTGCTGATCCAGATAATGTAAAGGATCAATTGAAGAGGTTATTTGACATTGATCCAAGTGAAGCTCTGCTTACTTCTGCCAAGACTGGTAAAGGCCTTGAACAGGTATTGCCTGCTGTTATTGAACGCATACCTTCCCCACCCGGGAAATGTGATGCACCTGTACGGATGTTGCTTTTGGATTCCTACTATGATGAATACAAAGGAGTGATTTGCCATGTTGCTGTTGTTGATGGTGCTCTGCGTAAAGGTGATAAGATTGCTTCGGCTGCAACTGGCCGTGCATATGAAGTTCTTGACCTCGGCATTATGCACCCTGAGCTTACACCTACTGGAGTTCTCTACACTGGACAAGTTGGATATGTTATTAGTGGAATGCGTTCAACTAAAGAAGCACGCATTGGTGATACCCTTCACCAGGCAAAGAGAACTGTCGAGCCACTTCCTGGTATGGAATCCCACTCTAAACATTTTTATAGTCTCGTCTGTATTTTTCACTTCTTTATTTTGTCTGATTTAGCCTGAAAAGAACAGGCATGATCTATTGCAGTCCCATAGCATTGTTCCATATCCCCTTTTTTAGTTTTTGGTTGCATGCGACATCATACAGAATAGTCTTTCAGGTTTCAAGCCTCGAAACACATGGTCTTCTCTGGTCTCTATCCTGCTGATGGTTCTGACTTTGAAGCTCTTAGCCATGCGATTGAGAAACTAACATGTAATGATGCCAGTGTCTCTGTTACAAAGGAGACAAGCAATGCACTTGGCATGGGATTCAGGTACCACCGTACCAGATTTTCTACATGTGAACTAGTTCGTTTCTGTTGTTTTCATTACACTGAGTCTGGGACTTGCTGTAATCTGTTTTTTATTTTTTTATGACTACTTTACAGATGTGGCTTCCTAGGATTGCTACACATGGATGTATTCCATCAACGGCTTGAGCAAGTATAGTTTTTTCGCATAATTTTGATGTGTTGATTTTTTACTGTTGCATAATTTGTACTCAGGGCACACAATACATCAATTGATGTTGAAAAATTAATTAAAGAGCTTCATTCCTAATTATTATGCTAGTATCTCAAGGAAATTTGTAACTTTGAGGTGCTGCCTTTAGAAGGATGAAATATTTTTTGCAGAAAAAACTAGAGAATATCTTTTTTCATAAGGTTAACGGTCCTATATATTTTACTATTTTTAAGTACGTTGGTTACCTGTGTCAGCCTAGAAACTCTTCCATTCATTTGAACATAGGGGGGGGGGGATTGGAATATGATGGCAAAAAAGAGGAAGTTATAAGATGTGATATAGTGTACAAAATTTGTGTGACCTTTAAATTGCCTTGAGGTTCTGATTGTCACTGCGTTTATTTAGGAATATGGAGCTCAAGTCATATCGACCATACCAACAGTACCTTATATTTTTGAATATGGTGATGGAAGGTGTGCACTCACAATTGTATTTGCTACCTCCGTTTTCTGGTAGGATACTAAAACTTTTTAGGTTATTTTATCAGCAAGGTGCAAGTTGAGAACCCTGCTGCTTTGGCTTCGAATCCTAGAAAGCGTGTAGCAGCCTGTTGGGAGCCCACAGTTATTGCAACAATCATTATCCCTAGTGAGTAAGACCCGCTTCCTTTCTCACCTGTTTTCTACAAAAAAAAATTCAATATTTGAGCATTACAAGTAGAAATTTGTTATCATGCTCAATCACCTTTTCAGGTATGTTGGGCCTGTCATTATGCTTTGTTCAGAAAGAAGGGGCGAACAGCTAGAATATACATTTATCGATGCGTAAACCATTTTTGCTTTCAAATCTCTCAGTTTTGTTAAGTGCTCGTCTATTCTTGGCTTTTTATTCATATGGCTATTTTTGATGCAGCCAAAGGGCTCTGTTGAAGTACCGGTTACCATTGAAGGAGATAATTGTGGACTTCTACAATGAGTTGAAGGGCATTACGTCTGGCTATGCTACTTTTGACTATGAAGATTCTGAGTAAGTCCTATTGTGAATGCAATAACAAGGCATGGTCGGGCTACACCTTTTTTTTTTCTGGAATTTACACATGAGAAAAATATCATGTTTTTATTTCACTTCCTCATATGCTTTCGTCATTATTTATATTTATATTTATATTTATTTATTTCCAGTCCTTTATATTCTGAAGGTGTTAGTACACCTTCCTGAATGGGGTTTCTTTTTCGAATCTAGCCTATGACTAGTAATTACATACACAGAGAGCACTTGTCTTGTGTATACAAGGTTTTCGAAACGTTCTTTTGATCAGACCTGGGATTGTTTGACTTATTAAGTAATGCATCCATCATCAATTTTGTGAAAATTACTCTTTAAGTGGCTTGCAAAAATCTGTTCCAAAGTATAATCGACGATATGAAGAGAAAAATATACCATAAATTTATGTAGCTTATCATTAGTTTATTCCCCTTTTCTCTTTGACAGATATCAACAATCTGAGCTAGTTAAGATGGACATCCTTCTTAATGGTCAACCTGTTGATGCTATGGCAACTATAGTGCATAACCAGAAGGCTCAGCGGGTTGGAAAGGAATTAGTGGAGAAGCTCAAGAAATTTATAGAAAGGTATTCATCAACCTCCTTTTCTTGAACATGTGTACTGTGCTTGAGATATGAGCATCTGTTTAAGTACATTACTTTTGGGTCAATATTAGTTACACTACAAAAGTGCAATTAGCTGCAAAGGGAATGGACTTGCAAACGAGAATAAACATTAGAGCAGTTTTTTTTGGTGACTTTTGCAAGGCTTAGAGCAGAATTTTGCTATAGGCTCATGTTGAATTGCGACATGATTTACATTTGGTGCCGCCTAACATAATTTATTTCATTCTTTTCATGCAGGCAAATGTTTGAGATCACAATACAAGCAGCAATTGGTTCAAAGGTTATTGCAAGGGAAACGTAAGATCTTCGAAGCTGCTATTAGTTTTCTGAAGTATATTCTACTTTTGGCATTGTTATTTGGTTGAAGATTATTCTTTATATCAAACTGCTTTGAAATTGTTATGTACACTTAACTGAATCTACGACAGCACTGCTATCCATTCATCCAGAACATTTAAGACAGTAGTCTTGACTCTTGAGCATTTTCTGTAATAAACTAACTAAATTTCTAGCAACTAAGGGCCTGTTTGGATGGACTAGGACTAGTTGTTAGTCTGGACTGGGACTAGACCTAGTTATTAGTTGGCTAATAGTTAGCTAGCTAAAAATTAGTCCTGTGCTGTTTGGATCCTAGGACTAATGTATGGTACTATTACTACGCAAAGACCTTTGTGCCCCTTGCCTACCTGCTGTTATTCCCAAGCAAAGACTAAGGAGGGGTATTTTTGACTTTTTTGAGGTTGGTTGCACCTATTAGTCCCAATTAGCTTGGTTTTGCCAACTAGTGGACTAACAACTAGTTGCGGCCTGAGCTAAAGTTTAGTCCACCCATTGGCTCACCTGTTTGGATCCTTATGGACTATAAATTTGTCAAAAGGCCCTGTTTGGATGGACTAGGACTAACAATAGTCCTATTAGCTCCTATCTATGGACTAATGGATTAACAACTAAGTCTATGACTAGTGGACTGACAATTAGTCTGCTTGTTTGGATCCTTAGAGACTAAAAATTAGTTAACTAGTTGTTAGTCGTATGGATCCAAACAGGGCCAGGTGGAAAGGGTTTCAAAACTTTCCAACTAAACCTTTCTGTTGGCCTAAAAGATGTACCTGTTCAGTTAATATAAAATATTAAAATTACTACCAATCAGCCTTGGGAAATTGCGCATTTGAGAAAAAGGCCTTGGGAAATCATCTCCAATCTTACCCTATCTGGTTGCAGCATATCTGAAAGGTTTAAATTTCAACCTGCAGGAAGTTGGAAGCTGTCCTAGTTTTAACGGCATTGTCCTTCGGCACAGTATGAATAAATAAATACATTGTTCATTATCAGGTTAACTAAGTAACTAACTGTATCTGAAAAGCCATGTAGATGGGAGGTAAAGAGTTGAATAATATGTTGCTGTCACACAGGTTTTGCTTATATGCTCTCTTTAACCATTTTCAGCCTGTCAGCAATGAGGAAGAATGTTCTGGCCAAGTGCTATGGTGGTGATATTACTCGGAAGAAGAAGTTGCTAGAGAAGCAAAAGGAAGGCAAAAAGCGCATGAAACGTGTGGGATCTGTCGACATTCCTCAGGAAGCATTTCATGAGCTACTGAAGGTCTCCAATTCAAAATAGATGGGATCCACTGCAATGGTAGTTTTTGTAGCTGTCCTAATTTTAAAAGTAGCTGTGTGGTGATGGCTAGCAGCCTCTTCTAGTCGTCTTCTGACAGGTGAGTTATTTATCTGTTCTGCAAATCATTATGTTAAACCGTCAGTAGTTTCGAGAGTTGAATCTCATGAGTTATCTCCTGTCACAGGTCCTGGCAGAATTATTCCATTGAGTACATAATGGCACCTGCGCCTGCTAAAATTTTTTCCAGGGACCGAAAAGGCCGAAGCGCTGCAGCCTTGTCCTGCTGACCTATGAGCCTTGTGCTGGAAGTTGTTCCTCCTGTGGACTGTGGTGATATACACAAGGCTTCTCAGCTGGTGCCAACGAATTTCCCATAGCAACACAGTAGAGCCGCCATCATTGTATTTGTTTATTGATTGATGGAGAACCATCCTTGAGCACCTTGCTGAACCCAGTTTTCGCTGCTGACTTGATAATCTGCCGTGTCACGTTACACCCCATTTTGTCTTAGATAATGTTTTGGAGCAAAAACAATAGATCATACACCTCAATTGGTCACTGAAACAGTGTGGTACATGTAATAAAAGGAGTTGAATTGAATAAAGATATCTCATGTTTTTGGAGTTTCGGGCGATCGTGCCCGCCTTGGTTGTCCTTTTCATCCTGAAATGAACGCGCCCCTTGTGGCTGAGAGCATCGTTTAGCTCCAAACAAATAAATTTTTTTGCACCAGCCGGGAATCGAACCCGGGTCTGTACCGTGGCAGGGTACTATTCTACCACTAGACCACTGGTGCTACTGTGTTTTGTTTTGACGTGACGCATTTGTGTGTTATCGCAAAAGTGCAAAACAGGCTAGAGGCCATCATAACCAGCGACTACAATTTATAACAGCATCGTTACCTAAAATAGACTACCTAAAACTCTATTTGGATAGCCATTTATTTTCATACTACCTAAATTTTGGTCTCAACCCTAGTTGCACTGCCTAAAACTGACTACCCATTTTCGTCCTCCTAGAGAATGACATGTGGGGTCCTACATGTCATCCTCTTCCCTATCTCCCCATCGTAGATGAACTCGGCCATGGCGGAGGAGGGGCACCTGCAGGGGAGGGGCGCGCCGGACGGGGTCGCACAGGCCGCCGGCGATGTACAAGGAGATTCCAACCCGCCGAAGTGGATCTGGTTGGCTTGCCAAGGTGGAGATGCGCTCGGTGGATGGCGCATTCGTGGCTGCTCCATGAGCCGTCTGCGGTGGGGCGCTTCGGGTCGGTGTTGGCGTCGAGGCTCGGCGCAGGCTCCTGACAGCGGACGGTGCGGCGGCTCGGACGGCGGGTTGGAGAGGTGGCTCGACCGCAGATCCGGCGGAGAAGGGCCGACAGCGGCGGCGGGCTACCTTGTGGCACGTTGGACTTCCTGCGTCGGCGTCGGGCTCTCCAGTGGCGCGGCGGCGGCTTCCTGCAGCGGCGGCGGCGGGCTCCCTCCGTTGGGCTCAGGCGCGCGGGGAAGAAACAAGCGAACGAGAAATAGGTAGTCTCTGGTGGCCCAACAGGAATGGGTGGTGGGAGGGGGATTTGGGTAGGCAACAAATTTGTGAGGTCTAGTAGGTAGTTTGCTGGAGTTGGTTTTTTTACCCTCGCTACCTAAATTGGGGATAGATAGTCTGCTGGAGATGCTCTAAGGCACTTAACTTGACTCCAGTTCACTTTCTTGCCGATTCACATCTGTGTAGAACCACTCACCAAAATCACATCAGAGACAGTAAAAAGTTCTTCTGGCAGAACGTAATTTGCAGATTTAGAGTACCAAGAACCCTAACAGTTGACAATGGAAAACAATTCGACTCGGAGAACTTTAAAGAATTCTGCAAGAGTATAGGTACCAAGGTTGCCTTCGCCTCAGTCTACCACCCAGAATCAAACGGAGCAGTGGAAAGAGCTAACAGAGTGATATTCTCAGCAATAGCAAAGACTCTATTCAACCTTCGCAAAGGCAAATGGGTAGAGGAACTACCGAAGGTAGTATGGTCCCATAACACTGCAGCCTCTAGAACAACAGGCTTCACACCGTTCAAACTCTTGTATGGCGAAGAAGCAATGTTGCCCGAAGAAGCCAAGCATCAGAGCCTCCGTGTCATAAAACAGGCACTGGCAGAAGATGAAGAATACTCTAAAGAAACAATTGAGGGCACAAGACTGGAAGCAGTTGAAAACATTACAAAATACCAAGACCAAACCAAAAAATGGAGAGACAACAAAGTGACCAGGAAAACATACAAGATGGAGACCTAGTCCTCAGAAGGAGACCTAATGCTGAAAATGTTGGAAAGCTCCAACCAAAATGGGAAGGCCCTTATTTGGCGAAGGCCGCCGGAAGACCCGGGTCATTCTACCTGACCAACGGCGAAGGCAGAACAACAACGCATAACTGGAACATTGACAGTTTGCGTAGGTTTTACATCTAAATGTAAAAAGGTGGCCTCCGCGGAACTATAAGTGAAGGTCACCAAGTTTCTAGTTGTTGTATTTTTACATTTCATGCAAAAGGGCTTGCACTCTTTTCCTCACAAAGGGAGCTCCTAACGGAGGTGAGGTTTTTAATGAGGCAAGTTCCATGTAAAAACCTCTAAAAATATAAAGAGGAATCCCCCTCCCCAAAATACCATAAAAGGCGAAGGTCGAAAGTGGCTAGCAATGCAGCCACAATATTCGACGACAGCATTACAATAGAGGACCCTCCAATGCTTTAGACGAAGGCTCTAAAGCATGGAACGACCCCCTCGGCTAAAGTAGCCTGCAACCTTGAGAAAGACCTATCCATATTCAGGCTTCAAGGATTTATCAAAATGTCCAAAAAGGCCAAAGCTAACCCGACAAAGACCTACCTTTGACGTAGGCATCAGAGAGAGGCTTATCGTGAACAAGCTTCAGTTAACTGCCAAAATTAATAGCTAAAGTACAATAGCAGTGAAGGCCAAAAGATATGCCAGGTATAGGGAAATCCCAACTTGAAAACATATCCAAGCAATAAACACCGGCCAACCACCAAGAGTTATTAAAACGTGCAACTGTTGCCCATTTCCCTATTCTTCCGGAGGCTTCTTTGTTATAGAGTATGTCCCCTAACGGTTGCGAAGATGGTACTGTAATTTCATGTGCTTGGAAATAGTGCTTCAATTTCTTTGAGGAGATCAACACCGCATATGCTATTTTTTCTATCTCTGTATAGTTCAACTTTACTCCTGATAGGGCTTCTAAGATGTAGTAGACTGGCTACTGAATGACCTTCAACTCTTCTTTCTCTTGGACAAGCACCCCACTGACTGCATGGTCGGAGGCTGCAACATATAACAACAATGGTGCCTCCGGATCCGGCACTATTACCATGAGTTTGATAGCCAAATAATTTTTGAGTTGCCGAAAGGCTTTTGATAGTTCTGGCCCCCATTCCACTTTATCTCCGCCTCTTAAAGCTTTGAAGAATGGGAGGCTGTGTTCTGCTGACTTTGAGATGAATCTGTTCAGCGCTGCTATTCTTCAGTGAGTTTTTGAACTTCCTTTTTGGTTTATGGTTCCACCATTGAAATTATGGCCTTTGTTTTGTCTGGGTTGGCTCTTATGCCTTCGGGTCCTATGATATACCCAAACATTTTACCTCTGCTTACGCTGAAGATACATTTTTTTGGGTTGAGTTTTACCCGTCCTCTCTTAAATTGGTGAAGGTTTCCTTTAAATCTACTATGTGGTCTCCCTCATCCTTACTCATCACCACAATATCATCAACATAAGCTATGATATTTTTCTACAGCTGGGGGCCGAGGACTGCCTTTGTCAATATGGCGAAGGTTGATCCAGCGTTTTTCAATCCTTTGGGTATTCTTGTGTAACAATAAGTTCCGAAGGGGTAGTGAAACTTATCTTCTCCTCATCTTCTTTTTTGAGCTAGATCTGGTGATATCCTGAGAAGCAATCCAGGAGAGAAATGCTTGCATCCTGCTGCCTTGTCAATGGAGGTGTCTATTCTTGGTATTGGAAATGGATCTTTCTTACATGCTTTGTTTAGATCTATGAAGTCTATGCACATTCTCGTCTTTCCATTTTTCTTTGGCACCAGTACTACATTCGCCAGCCATTCTGAGTACTTGACCTCTCTGATGATGTTTGCATTTAACAACCTTTGAACTTTGGCTTTTGCTGCTAAAATTCTCTCCTCCGATTTTTTCCTTTGTCGCTGCTTTTTTGGTTTTATTCTGGGGTTGATCTCAAGGGAGTGTTGTATAATGTCCCTGCTGACCCCTTTCAGGTCGGAGGCTGACCAGGCAAAGACGTCTTTGTTTTTGGCTAAGGTTTTTATGAGCTCTGCTTCCTCTTCTTTTGACAGGTTGCCTCCGATAGTGACCTTCCTGTCTAGGACTGTTTCTTCCAATGGGACTGTCTTTGTTTCTTCCTGATTCTTGAGATATGTTTTTCCCTTTGGCATGTCCGGAGGCTCCGTTGAATTAGTTCTAGCTGCTTCGACGGAGTTGATGTTGCGCTGCGACTTGTAGATGTCTCTTTCTATATTTCTTGCTTCCTTCTGGCAGCCATGAACTGTGATGATTATGTGCAAGGCCATCATTTTCATACAAGATAACCCATATGAATGGCTGCATTGAATTTGTTTGCGAACCCTCTTCCGAAGATGGCGTTGTAGGGGTAGTAGAGACCTACTACGTCAAAGGTTACATATTATGTTCTTGTGTTTTTTTGACCTCCGAAGGAGACTAGGAGGGATATTTTTCCTAATGCATCTACCCTTTTCCCTCCAAAACCAATTAGTGGTGAGTCCAAAGGCTGCAACTGACTCCTGCTTAGCTTCATCTGGTCGAAGACATTTACAAAGATAATATCTGCAGAACTTCTAGAATCTATGAGAACCCTATTGATTTCCTATCCTGCAATGTTGGCCTTGATTACCATGGTGTCGATATGAGGGTAGTTCTCTAGCTGCAAATCTTGTT